TGACTCGCTGGCTCGGACTTTGGCACTACTCCACCGTTTTCTTCATTGAAATATGGGGTATTTTACCTACTTTCCCAATGTACAAACACAAGATCAACAAAAATAATGCATGGTGGCCTAGTACCTCTGCTGAGATTTAAAAAAAATAGGAAAACTACTCCAATTTCCAAAAGGCATCTCACCATGACAGAAAAGTCAACCAAAGCCAATTTTGGACTAAATGTATCATTTTGAAGAAATTAAAGGTGATGTTGGTGTTGTACAGACAAATTGAGTGAGAAGGAAAAAATTACACCCTAAAATCTACCATTAAATTTGAATGATGTTATTTTAGTTCTGTACAATCCTTCTACAGTAATGAACCATGAAAATTTTAACAAATATAATTCTATTCTTATAGAGTAGTGTGGCATCAACTACAAAGCTTACATCTTGGGGTAGAGCTTGACACATGTAAGACGGAAGCACGGCTTACCCTAGATAAGTTGAAACGCTACACATTTGAGATTAAGAAACTTCTTTCTGTAGATGAAATAACACTCAACGAATTGCAGTCATTAATTGGGAAGTTTTGGAAATTTGCGACCTGTGTTATTAAACCTGGTCGTGCCTTTTTGTGTAGGTTATACCGCCTCATTGTAGGAAAGACATCCCCATTCAGTCGTGTAAAACTCACACAGGGTACAAAAGACGACCTTAAGACCTGGCTTCATTTTTTGTTCCAATACAACGGAACAACCCTCATAAAAATGCTCAAAAAATTAGACTCGGATTGTTTACACTTCTACTCCGACGCTTCTAAGTCCGGTTATGGGGCAACCTTCAATAATCAATGGATACAAGGTACCTGGCCATCTTTATGGAAATCCTTTGACATCATGATTCTTGAGTTGTATCCTATATTTATCATGTTCTCAATATTTGCAAAACAGTTAGCAAACCTCAAGCAATGACAGTGTTATGCATATCGTTCGCCCCATAGTGCTTGTTCCGCTCACGTCCAGACATATACTAGGAAAAAAGAACATTTTGTGTGATGTACTGTCTCGGTTTCAGGTAACAGGAAATCTACTAAAAGAGAGCAACATGCAGCCGCATCCTCTACAAATTCCGGCACACCTGCTATCAGAGAACTTCGCTCCTTTGAACAGACACTTACCTGGGGATCGTTAGCAAAATACACTGCTAAGTCTTACATCAAGCAATGGACACATTTTTGTCATTTTCTACGACGACATAACCTACCGCTACGTATGTGCCATCAACCCAACAAGCCTTATCCCTTTACGTGTGCTATTTGATAAAATCTGGACTTGCAGTCTCTACCGTTAAAACCTACCTTAGTGCAATTTCATTTATGCACAAGATTTCTTACATGGGTCCGACAGTCTCGAGAAAATTGACCATTCTGTGTAGAACTAAAACTACAGCAGTCCGCCACTTTCACTCGGCTACCAATCACTACACAGATTTTAACTAAACTAATAAAGAACCTCCAATTCGCAACCACTTCGCGTTATGATTTCACTCTCTATAAAGCTCTATTTCTAACATGCTTTTTTGCCTGCCTACGAGCCAGCCAAATTGTTGCTACGAAAACTCCTGAACATGCGCTAACGTCCAACGTCATAGTACTTCATAAGGATAAAGTAGTCATCACTTTCTGCACGTTCAAACATAGCAAAGGTCCACATCCAAAATATGTATTTAAGGAAAATCGTGGAAGCTGCCTGTGCCCTGTGAAAGCACTACACCTATACGG